CTGTTGGTAGTGGTACATAGTTGTAGTCAAGGTTATAAAGCTAATAATCTGTTGTCATCTTTACAATATGTAAAGATGTGGGTAACTACTTTCATTAAAAACTGTAAGACATCATACAGATTCCTCTGTTTTGACTCTTCAAAAAAAATTCCTACCATCTATCATCACGAGGAACAGATTTGTGCAAGAGCTTCTACCATTTTTAACCAGCTCTACATTGTAATGGAGTCAGGGGGGTTACTCCTAACTTGTCTGTTTTAATTCCGTCTCTCTGCTTCCATTGCTTCTCATCATGTCCCCCCTTGGGCTCACATTATTACCCAAACCCAGTGCCCTCAATGAAACCGCTACAGTAGCCAATTCCACAGGTCACTGTCCGTACAGAGGCCTGGTAAGCGTGTAATCAAGGGGTGGGATGAGATGGAATTGTGTAGTGTGTCAATGGAACAGGGCTGCAGGCATGTGTCACGGTGATGTGAGGCTGCATCTTTTGGCCATTATATCAGTTATAAATTGACCATTCAAAAATCACAGAATGACGGCACAGGCTTGCAAAGTTCCGTACAGAACTGGATGTCAGGAATAATAGAGATCAATGAGGCTTCGGAACACATAATGGTCTTTAAAGGAAAATCTAGGAAAGTATTTTAGCAAAAAGTTTAACTAATTGGATCTGCTCTTTTGATTCTTTGGTGCAAAGCACAAGGTTGAACTTGGCAAAGGCGCCTTAAAACACCTGCCAAACAAAAGCAGTCATACAGAGGTCTGGACAGAGAGAACAGACAATAAATCCTCATTTACCTGATGGTCACTGAGGTGTGACAAGCTGGCTTCCACAAGAGGGAACTAGATCAAAGACTGGGCAGAGATGGAGACAGCAGGCAGGTGATTCACCTCTGAGGAAAAGTTTGGTGCTGGCTCGACCTTCAAGTTCCTGCTCATGAAAGTAGAACCTAAAGTGTAAATGTCATGTTTGTATGATCTAAGATGAATAAGGAGCGCATCATTAACCCATAATGATGCACACGGAGCTAAAGTACCGTCACTTCCCCTCGGTGCTGAAAAATGTGGGCAGGCCCCTTGTATGAAGTCTGTTTCACATATAAAACAGGCATTGATTTCTGAATGAGATATACCACCATTTCAAAGAGTTACACTTTCTAAAACTCCATGAATTAAATACACGCCCTGCAAAAGGATTCAGAGCTGTTGGAGGTACCATACAAACATTGCTCAAAGGCACAGAGAGGAACTGCATTTCTGCTAAACTGGTTGTTATTTTAGTGCTATAAACTAAATGTGGTGTCCCTTCTTTTCCATTCCACTACTGCATGCAACAATGGAAACCCTTCTCTTAAATTATATATTGTTAAAACATACTGATAAAATTTTCATCCATGGCCTATAGCAGGATTAGGAACTAGAAAAATACACTGTAAGATCCTGAATTAGTACATTGAAATGTGTTAGGCTCCTTAAAGACAGACCAGTCCTAGTTCCCCAATCGTCAAATTACTAATGTCTGTAGAAATTCTGAGAGGTTTTAATAATTTTGTATTGTAATTGAACAATTTGATGAATCAGCAGATCAGTTGTCATGGGAAGTCTGACATAATCAAGTTGACCTTTCAGTTTCAGTAAAGAGAGGAAGGCAGGCAGGCAGCAGTCAGGGAGGTATTTTTCAGACATACTTATAGCCATGATGTAAAGTTGTAGACAACACCCAGATGCTCTAAAACATTCTAGAAAACTTTAACTGATCTAAGCAATGTGACGTGACAAAGTCTTAGTCTATATTTACGCAAACTTGTGTGTTGCAGGAAATGTCCAGGCGGTTAACACATACACTTAATTTTGATTGATACAACACGTCAGGAGTGACCCATTAGCACGGTGCATTGATTAACTACCCATGACTAATGAACTGCACACTGTAAGCCACAAAGTCATTCTAGTACACAACTAAAAATATGGACTCATGTGTCCCCAAAAAAAATGTTTAGAATGCTTTCTCAAAGCTGGTCCACTAATTCCGTTCAGGAGCACAATACTGAAAACAATGTTGGAAAGTCTTTCCCGAGAAAGTCTGTTGTTAAAGAGGACAGATTTCCGGAGCTATTTTAATCAGGCTGAGGACCATGCAACTCTTAAAGCTGCACAGTAACAGAAGAAAGTTTATGTAAGCCTTGGAAAAGATGCGTCTGACACATTAGTATTCTGACAAGGAGTTTCACACAGGAGCTACAATCCCCTGCTTATTGTTTTCATTATTCATACCAAATCTCAGCAACATTATTACAATATATATTATATGGTCCATATAAATGTCGGAGATATACATCCCATGTATATGAACTACTTTTTAAGTAATTGATCAATAGATTCTTGTCACTGTCGGTGATTATCATTGAGTTTTACTTGGATAATACAGAGAGCATTCCTAAAAAACCTCAGATAGAGAAAAAAGAGCATAATTATGCATTAAATTAATCTGATGGGTCCAAGAACAGAAGAACAATTGTGCTCTCATTCATTGCAGTTCCTATTACCCCAACAATATCATTATATAGCCTTTTTCATATCGGGGAGAAGTCACAAGAGTCCAGGTAAAGCTGGCCTAAGGTGGTACCTGTGGCGTTTTAGATTTACTTTAAAGTAATCCTCTTGTGAATACAAAAAACTTGAGAACAAGCTGTAGAACCAGTTCCCCTTTTCAACTATTTTTCATTAAAAACTGTGAACATCTGCTTTGAGGTTTGAGGCTTCCAACGACAGCCAAAAGATAATCAGAGATGAAGCATCAATTACAGCAAAAGCCCCCCCCAAATATAGAAAAAATTAAAAAAGCAAGCTCTAATCACCAGCGTTTTTTCTTTAAGAAAATCTATTTTCCCCGTTGCTGTAAGGCTTACTTTATTGTTCATGAGGCTGAAAGTCGAAATTTGAAGTCAAACGATTCTCCTGAGAGCAGAAGGCTTTCTCAGTTCGGGTTAAACCGGCTCCGGTGTGCCAGCTCTGTGTGAGAGGTGCATGAGAGAAAGCAACGAAGGTTACGCTGTTATCTATGGGAAACTCTCCAAACAATAATCGAGTACCGAGTTCAGGGAAAAGGCTGCCATATAAAACATGACACGTATCCCAGCCCTGACTATGATAGAGATGGTAAAAATGTGCAAATCACTCAGTTTAATTAAACCTCTTTCACACTAAAAAGAAAGAAAAGGAATATGCACAATTAATTGCAGTCAAACAAACAATAGTTGACTTAAATTGTAGGTTTGTTCCTTTCGGGCTATTGTACCTTAGAGGATGAAATACTTTTACACCAATGGAAACAAACAAGATATACTGGATGCAACTTTTAATGACTGGCAGCTTTTCTTTTTTTACATATTTCAAACAGGTTTTCTGTTAAACTTTTGAAAAGTTATTTAAAAGTTAAATAACTTTTACAAAGGTTTCAAACATTCGGTGTATCACAAAATAGAATAATGTTTATACCAAGGTAATCACTGCCATGAATGCAACATAGATAATTAACTTTCCAGGGATCATTTCCAAATGTTGTAGGTACTTCTTAAATGAGCCAACACAAAAGAATGAAAGGATTTGAAGATCAATGTATTTCCAATTAAGATAACAAGTACACGTAAAGGCTAGACAATTATTTGGCTCAGCAGGTGTACCTGCATACATAAATCCATCTAAAGCATGCTCGTTTGGATGTAAAAAAAACTGTTTTCTCATAGTTTTGGGTCCATTATCTTAGATTGCAAATGTCAAATATATGCATTCTGAAATTAATTTATTTTTACATTAATATTATAATGCTGATGACGTTAGAAAAAAAGGGCTAAAACTTGTACGTTTGTGTTGCATAACCCACTAAAGAGGTACACCTCAGCTACCACTAAGCAAAACAAAACTATAACAGCAAAAAAGACACAGCGAAAGCTTAATCTAATCATGAAAGGTTTAGACCGTGTGTGATACGCAGCCACAGCTGGACGAATGTGATACTGAGGGAGGGGTTAAATGTCTGGTTGAAAAAAAAAAAAAAAATTATTGGTGGGAGCTGTGTTGATAGGAATGCATCTGTAAGACTGAATTTATTGGGCTGATCGCACAACATTAGTATTTTTTCCCTCATATCAGCTTGAATAAGATTTTGTTGGCACCTGAGCAGCTGAAGGTCTGTGGTTTCGACTCAAGTGTGGAGGTCTCTTTGGGTACGAATGAACCCCTGTGTTGCCTATTGACGCGTCCATTGATTTATGGGTGTAGGAAAAAAAGCACTGCAGAGCCTGTATGTGACTTCAGATGTGCTGAATGAGTGAATGGGTGAATGGGACATTTTCTGTAAAAGCCGAGTGGCCTAAGTAAGTGGGTCTACAATTCATTTACCAATAATGTCTGCTGACAGGTTTCCTATTGCAGGTAGTCCACCAGGCCGCCCCATCATTTTTACACAATGCCTTAACAAATCAGACGCAAACTCCTAAAGAGACTGTGTACTCAGTTAAATCTAAATGTGCCAAAACAAATGATATTTTCTGTTTACAGGTCGTCTTCCATAACAGGAGGATGGTCTTGGAAGAGGTGCAAACTGAAAAGTTAGGTGGCCAACATAGACACAAATGAATATTAAAATAGAACAATAGGATCTCTAAGCTGACCATACCTTCATTATTTCTTAAATCCTCTATCATTATTGTAGAGAAGCCTACTTTAAGTCGCACTTCATTGTGATAAACTGAAAGGGTTTTTAAATATATATATTACTGTTGATCATGAATGAGACCGATAATTGCTTTAAAGGAAGTTAAAGAGAGAGATGGATGCAAGTCTGTAGGAGTTCACGCGGACCGTCTGCCAGCCTGGACGCGTTGTTTGCGTTTGGAGCCGCGATCGGGAGCGCGCATGGGCTGAGGACGGGGTCCTGTCGCCTCTCCCGAGGGGCAGCCGTGATGCTGCGTCGGCCTATATAAGACCCACACAAGATGCCACGGACGGGTCGTTTGGTGCACTTGCGCTTTTCCCAGACATCGCGCAACTTCTGCTCCGCCGCGGCGCACCCGTCTCTCGCGCGCGGTTTCCTTTCACTTTTGAGCGTCACCCCCCCCCCCCCTCCCTTTTTTCTCCGCGCCCCCCCCCCATCCGTCTGCAACCGCTCCGACATGCACGCGGGTCGCCGCCGCGGGATTCGGCGCACGAACTTTGCCAAAGACGAGCGCCAGGGCGCACAGGATTCCGGGCGCGGACTGCGCGTTTTCGCGCAAGTGTGACTCCTTGCGCGCGAACTTTGTGGAGCATGAGAGTGTAGTAGGAGCGCAGGCGGGATTTTTTTTTCTTCTCTCTCTGCGTTAAGCTTCGCCGAGCAGGTATAGCCGACTACTCCGGGCTATGGACAATGGATACGCTGAGTTTGTCAGTTAACGCGGTGTCCTACACCGTGGCAACTGAGATCCCCAGCGCCGACGACCCGTTCAACGGACCCATCAGGAACATCGCCCCGTGGAACTTTACTGTCCTGGCCGTTGTCATGTTCATGGTCACCTCGCTGTCCCTGACCGAGAATTTCCTGGTGATGTTTGTCACTTTCAAGTTCAAACAGCTCAGACAGCCTCTGAATTACATCATAGTGAACCTGGCCATTGCCGACTTTCTTGTCTCCCTCACGGGCGGACTGATAAGTTTCCTGACAAACGCGCGGGGTTATTTCTTCCTCGGGAAGTGGGCTTGTGTCTTGGAGGGCTTTGCCGTTACTTTTTTCGGTAGGTTCTGTCCCGTCACTGTTCTCTTATGTGAGATGGAGAAATGCATGTAGGTGTTGAGTGGTGGAGCAAAAGTGGATAATGGCTTAAATGACTTATTAGCCCCCCCCCCCACCAGCACAGACTTGGACGACCTGATTCTAATTTATGGGACCTGTGAGTAATATCAAATTCAGGACTCAATTTGTCTTGAATAGAATATCACTTTTTTCCTTTTATCCAGGCAAATATTAGGTCTGTTTGGAGTCTTTGAGCTGACAGTTGAGATAAAGCTAAATTATATGCTCGTGGAATGTACCAAAATCTACTGGAAGTCCAATCTACCTCGCCTCCAAACTAAAACTCGATAATTAGGGAGCCAGATGTGTATGTGCAAAGTGAAAGTGCCTCTCAGCATTAACCCATGAAATTGTTTTCTTGAGCCTCTGGTGTAGATTACCTTTGCTGGATCTTTAATAACTGCACCTGCAAAGCATTTTCCTCTGTGCTACGCTAAGTGTGTAAAAAAAAAAAAAGAAAAAAAAGCTGATTGTAGGATCCCCAGCAGAAAGCCCTTTATGAGACTAGTAAACCCAGATTGAAAACCATGCCAACGGCAGATGTTAACATCCCAGTACAGGAGCCTTCTCACACACCGAGGTGCATGACTTGCCATAAGTAGGTTGCCAGAGCCGTGACCACCAATTTAACTCCGTCGCTGGGTTTTGTTTTGTACTTTTAAGAGCTCTTCTCATTCTAAAACCGCCCGTAGAGATCTTGAGAATGGGATCGTGAGAATCCAGTGAGATGCATGCAAGTACGTGCAAGGAGGAGTAAAACAGAACACTAGATCAGTTCATGTAAAAGCCTTCTAGCTGAGCTTTGAAACAAGGGTCTTTTGATCTACTTTCGGTGTCTTGGACAGGTTGTAGAGGAAGAGAGACGATGTCCTTATTGCAGACGGTTAAGCCGACAGACTGAATGCCAAACACTAATCTGAGTTCCCATGTAAAACGCAGTATGACGAGTGTCATATGACCATGGGAAAAATATTGTCAGATCAGTGTCACTTGAAAACGTTTAACTTCTGGCATAATGGGGCCGCTTTGGTCCTGTGAGGAGAATGAAATCCCGTATTTCCTGGACACGGGCTTTATAAAGAGACATTGATGCTGAACAGCTTCCACTGGTGAGGCCTGCACGATCTTATCCGTGAATCTTATGTGTCCTGGTGACTGGGTTGCATTGAATTACCACGGAAAACAGTGTGGCATGGAATAACTCAGAGATTTAAAAGCTCTATATCCCGGAAACTCAAAAATAAAACAGTGTGGGGAATAAGCCGGCTCTTTAGATGGAAATTAGCCCTCTGACACACTAAGTTTAGATGTTCGCAAGCCATGCAAATTTAAAATCAGTGGCCAACTGAAGTCAGGCTCTCATCTAAGGAGTACTCCAGAGTCTATTGCATGACAGCTTTTTGAATGATTGAATGTTGTGTTTTTCTGATGTGTAACCTGTTGATATTAAATGTGTCTATGCATTTCTTTTTGAGCATAACAGCTGCTGTAATTGATATTCTGCTGAGGGGGAAAACCTTTATCTGTTTTTGTCATATTTTTATGGTTTGTGTCCAACTGGTTAACAGATAAATTAATTTGAACTGGATGAGTAAAGCGAAGGATGTATAAAACACTCCTGTTATGGTCAGTTTTTTTAGCTTAGCAAAGCTTGAGAAGCAGTTCTGGGACTAGACGGTGTTCAGTTGTTTAGCAAAAGCCAGGTGCTCTTGGTAACACGTGTATTTAGTCTTGTAGGCAGACACAAAGTGTACCTGGGTGTATGGGGATAAGTGATTAACCAGTCAGTGAGAGTGACTTATTACCACAATTAAAGTCTTCCTTTTTTTTCTAAGCCCATTAGGAAGCAACCTAATGCACTCACCCCAAATCATTAAACTATTTCCACCAGCAGATTGGGAACTTTTGACTTTTACCAGTGCAGAATACGGGCAATTTGTTAAAAAAGAAGACAAGTGTTAACACAAGGGGGGGACGGTTTTCACCAGTCCAACTTCAAGTACTTAGACGTATCAGATTGGTGAGGAGCTCTCACAAAAACATGCATTACGAGCTAATACTTGGTCATTTTTATGTGTAAAGGAGTTGTTTTCTTGTCCCGCAGGGATCGTGGCCCTGTGGTCTCTGGCTGTTCTGTCTTTTGAGCGCTTCTTCGTGATCTGCCGGCCGCTGGGGAACATCCGACTGCAGCCCAAGCACGCCATCCTGGGTCTGCTTTTCGTGTGGAGCTTCTCCTTCATCTGGACCTTCCCACCGGTGCTGGGCTGGAACAGATACACGGTCAGCAAGATCGGAACCACCTGCGAGCCCGACTGGTGAGAGCTGAGTCTTGTAGAATGTTCAGAAAGCGGAGAAAAAAATCAGTACGTGTTGGCTTTAGTTCACAAAAATCCCAATACGCTTTTTTTTCTCCCTTAATCCACGCTGTGGATGCAATCTCCCTGGTTTACCACCAGAGAAATTAGCCCAATAAAAACAGGATTGAGGTAGGTAGGTAGGTAGGTAGGTGGGTGATTGATTTAAACTGGAATATTACCTCTGGGGCGGCATGTAGCGGTGGCAGTATTTCAAACTGGATTTTTAGCGGCTCAGTCAGCACAACTTTAAACATTTCCCCTCCAATCAAACAAAGGAAGGCGGGGGCACTTTCTGAGCAAATCTCTAAGTCAAATCAAAGTATCTTACCATCATCAGAGGTTGGAGATGGATGTTTTTCTGTGTGGCTTTTAGGAAGAAATCCCTTTAATGCTTTGATGATGTCGATTTTTTTGGTTGAAAACAAACACAAAGATGTTATCGCCTCATTAAACGGATATGGCTATCTACAGAATTCATACGTGAGGCTACTCTCTTATCCAGATGTAATGCTTTCCTTGGACATCTTTTAGGTGTTAACCTCTTTAACAAGTAGACATTGTTAGTACAAAAACTGTGGCTTTACATTGAAAGTATCTAAAACGAACCTCCGGAGTTGAACCTAAATTGTAACCTATACATAACTCGGTTTCTTAGTCTCCATATCAAATACCTTTCACACAAACGGACAGCGACCAGATCCACACTGCCGCTTCAGCTGTGTAAGCGCACGCTAATGCCTTTTGCGAAACAAGCCGAGCAGCAGGTTTTAGCTCTAACCTTGGCCCTCGGGGTGCCATCTGGATAATGCTATTTAGCTGTTTTGATCAAAGGTGCATAGATATTGGGCTGAGTGGTTGCCTCAAGCCCTACGAGAGAACCATCGCTCCAACGGAGTGAGCTGGGGGGGTGACAAATGGTTAAAACAATTAAGCGATCTCCTAATGGGGATTGTCGCCACACTGATGACACAATCCACCTCAGAATTCGAGCAACATGAGTTCAATCAAAAAGCGCTTCGGTTAACAGCAGGAACTGGAACGGCACAGGTGGGCGAGGTCCAGATGGTTGCAACATGCGCAGCCTAATGCATTTTAAAAGCCTCATTTATGTGCATCCATTTGTCACTGCTCACATGTAAAATGCATGGGCAAGCTTTTGAATATCTGAAAGGATTTGTACGGCCGTGCCGGGGAAGACAATATCATCTAACTGGCATTAGATGGCTGCCCCCTTAGGGAGCATCTCTATGATGTCAGGGCATCTTAACTCTGCAGTTTATTATTCGGTTGAAACACATAAACCCCCTAATGATCCCTTCGCTAAGCAATGTCTCCATTATGAGTTTATTAATCTGGAGAACAGAGGTCCCTGAATTTAGGGGTGGCCTCTAACCTTAATCAGAGTGCAAGATACAATCTAACACTTTGAAGTTCTAGACATTTAAAAAAAATTGTTCTGGCCCTCTGGCAATGTCAACAACATTTATGACAGCAGTACGCTGCCTGATGTCCTGGGAAAATCTGCACATGTAATAGTACTAATCCTCTTGCTATGTTCATTTCACCAACATGTTCTTTTTATCTAAAGACCCATGCACAGGATTTATTTTTTTCATTCAGTTTTTATTGTTAAATGTCTACATACGGCCGGCGCAAGATTGGATCAGCTCTTCTAGCTGACCCAACTCTTGTCATATACTCCCTCAACCAATATGGGAGACTATACAAAAATGCATGCTTCTGGATGCACACACAAACACCCACAGTCTAGTTCTCAAAAGAGCTTTCTTACAATTAGATCAAAATTACTAATGCACAATCAGTCGAAAGCAGGAGTTGAGTAATGTTCAAAATAACATGACTTTCATTTGATTAGAAGTAGGTCATTTCACGTTCAATTTAGATTTATATAATTGTAAAAGCGGTTGGATTCCGCACCTGCAGTCCTCTGATTTCTGTTTAGTTTACATAAAAACAAAAGAAAAAATGTATTGGAGTCAGTCTTAATTAGCTGATTTCTACAGTAAGGCTAGAGGAATTTGAATTCTGATAGGTCAAAGAGTCATTGGTCAATGACAATGAGAGTCAATAAAAGCTCTGCTGAGCTTTTATTCTTTGGCACACTATCAGTTGAAGATATCCTCTGTGAGCAACAACAACAAAAAGAATTGTTGAATTTTAGCTAGTGAGTGGGTTTCTCATAGAACACAAAGCAGTTTTTTCTGCTTCCTTCTTGTTAAATCCTATCATGGGATGGAGTGTAGATGTGTTTATTTGTGAAGTCACATGAGCAGATTTTTTTTTTTTTCTGGCTAAATACTATGTTCCAGATGCTGTTATACAATGCAATTAGTTTTAAGCTAACTTTCCGTGTAAATTCATACAGCTGATACACATGAAAGAGGTTTGAGATTTGAAGTCTGCCAATTGTCGTGCCAGGTGATTGGATGGTGATGGAAAAAAGATTAGTTCAGAAAATGTAGTTTTTATTTGGGTGTTTTTTTCTTGTTCAATTTATAAGAATGTACAGCTTTGTATTGATGTCTTTTGCTTGACCTGCCAGTTGACCTATGAAAAGCTTCTTTGGTCCAGCGAATGAATAGAGTAAATGAAATTTTATACTTCAAATAAATACTTTTTTAAGGTGATCCATCAACAGAAACTTAATGAGCAAAGCTCTCCTTTTTCTCTTTAAGAAAAAACAACAACAAACAGGACAGGAATGATAGAACCACACTGCAAGGCAATCAGAGATGGACTGATAAAAGTGCAGAGATTATAAAAGATTACAGGGGGTGTATGACTGTTTTTGTGGGTGCAATTAGAAGAAAAGTGAACATGTTCATGTTGTGCCTTCAGGGGATTTGAATGTTTTATTGAATGATTTATCGGTGTGTGCCCCGAAACATTAAAGATATTAATATTGATGATATTTTCAGGGCCCTCAAGAGAGTTGGGTTTGGAATTTCCAGCATCACCTATTGAAAAAGATTTTTCTCATCTTAAAATATTAAAAAAAAGAAAACAAAAATCCCTCAAACCTCCACTCTTTTTCTGAGTGCAACGAGGTATCGTGGATGTATGTTCTTAATTCACGTGCCAAAAACAACAGGGGTTTTGAGCCCAAAAGCGCAATCGCAAAAGCTGACCTGTTCCTCACTTCATTTGTTCAACAAGGATTAAGATGGATGGCTGCGAACGCACACACACACATGCACACGCTGCTCCGTCTGCCAGGTGCATCCCTGGGCATTAATCTGGTGCTCCTTTCATTTAAAGGTTGTAGGTGTTCTTAGCGAAACCACTTAATTAGAGCAAATTAGTGTCCTCTGGGCTCCAAAGTGATTCACGGAGATTTGTCTCAGCTGCGAAATTCCCCTTTTAACTGTGGCTCAGTTGAAGTGCAAAGCTTGTTGCCTTCCCCTCGAGTCACATAAAAGCCTCTGCATTTTGAAGGGGGTCTCATTGCTGGGAATAGACGGGTTCGGGTACCTTATTGTGCTTAGAGTGAGGCAACGCGGTTGGTCAGATCACGCGAGGTCGGTTTAGTTTCCCGGAACACTCCATGACTGTCTTGAAAAGTAACGAGCCACTTTTTTTTGTTGTTGTTGTTGTTGTTGTTGTCTGTCTGTAAACAGGTATTCAACCAACATTACAGATCACAGCTACATCATCACTTTCTTCGCCACCTGTTTCATTCTGCCTCTCGGAGTAATATTCTACTGCTATGGGAGGCTGCTGCGGAAGCTCCGAAAGGTCAGTTGCCTGATGCCCTACACGAGGAAAAACAGCGTTCGTTTTCATTCGGAATCTACTCCCGAAAGGCATTTTTACGCCGCGCGCCTCAATGAATTTCTTATTTCACACGGGGGCGTGTCATGGTTATGTTTCTTTCATAGGGAGAAAAATATGCTTGACACAGTTGCAGAGCTTACAGATACAAAAGCAGAAATGTGAAAATGTCCCACGGCCCCATAATGGTCGCAATCTTGTCAATTTACTTTGATTTTGAAGTTTGAATAATTTGTTGAACACATTTCTTTGGAGGTGAATGTAACTATTTGTTGTTGCGGACGTATGATTTATGTTAAACAGCACAACATTTGTCCTCTTAAGCAAATTTGACATTTTGTCAGCTAAAAAACTGAGCGACTGAATGAGACACTGATTGGATACATGTGACTGAAGTTTAATCATGTCGGGGACATTAACAAACTGCTTACACATTTGGTCTTTCTCTTTCTTCCAGGTGTCCCATGGGCGTCTGGCCACCGCCAGGAAGCCTGAGCGACAGGTGACGCGCATGGTTGTGGTGATGATCGTGGCCTTTATGGTGGGCTGGACGCCGTACGCGGCCTTCTCCATCCTGGTGACGGCCCACCCGACCGTAGAGCTCGATCCCAGGCTGGCCGCCATCCCCGCCTTTTTCTCCAAGACAGCTGCGGTCTACAACCCTATCATCTACGTCTTCATGAACAAACAGGTAGCGCTGGACTTTAAAAGTCAACAGATCGCTTTTTTTTTTACAAAGCTCAGAAAGCAGATAAATAGGATTTGAGTGGAATGACTGGGACAGAAAATGAAATGTCAAATGTTTTTCCCATCCCCTCACACAACTGGACACATAACTAAATCAAATTAGAATCAGAACCTGTTTCTATCAATATTCCGCATTAAGGTCCAGAGACTCTCATATTTAGGGTAAATTTAGGGTAACTACAGACTAGTACTACTCTGTATAAACTTAAATTGCCATTTTTCTTTGTTGATGTGGGTATCATTGACTTTTTCCATGACATTAATTTGATTTAATTTCTTTAACTGGCTCATCTGTTAAGCTCTGATGTTACATGTCAATGAGACGTTCCATCTGTTCACAGTCCAAAAGAAACCTTTTAGTCTTGAAAAATGTGTGTGTTCATCTTCGCATATTGATGAGATTTATATGTGGGTATATCCTCAGTCAATAGTCTATAGTATGCTCTATATTACGTAAAAAGTTTATCGTTAAAGCAAGCGGTGCTCACAAGCTGTGTGAAAAGCGATGCTCTGCTACGAGATGTGGGCCTTGACGTGCGTGTGAATCCCTCTGAAAAACTTCATTATTTGCTTCTTTTTTGTGAGCCAAGCATCACCGCTGAAACATCTGTCAAGTTTAAACCAACTCGACGGTGGTTCACATTGGATTTACAAAAATTGCCCTTTTCTTCTTTTGGATACGACATGTGTTGCTGTCTGAATGTAGATATTTTACTCCAATTTACTTGATTTGTACTTTTCAACCAGTAGTGCAATTTGCTTTATGAGAGCTACTGAAGACAACTGAGATGAGATCTCTGTTGTTGTTGGCATTAGGCTGTCTCTCAATAATTCATAGTGAATGAATAAATGAAATGAAACCTACAGATTCCATTTGCTCATATGTGGCTCTGCTGAAAAATTGAACAGCTACCTGAACGATTCTTGTCTTGCTCTTGGTTGAAAAAAGAAAGAAAAGAAGAGAAAATTAAGCTCATTTATGAATAAAAATCTAATTGACTTTGTAACATTCTACATTAGGACTACAACTTTTTGACTCCTTGATGGATTATTAGCAGGACTGTCGCTAGTGAAGTGCCCAATATTTTATCTCTAAATGTCTAAACAAGGTACTTGGAAGAGGTTTAGTGCTTAGAAAGTGTCATTAAGCCCTGTTGAATAGGCCTATAAACATAAGCTACTCAGACAGCCCATGAATTTAGACGAATAGAATCATATTATGTCATCAAGAAAACAATACTGGTCACTTGGTAAATCAGCACCTAAACCTAAACCTTTTTGAATGTCTAGTTGGACTACAATGAGTAGAAACACATGCCTTTAAATGTTTTAGGTAACCAACTTATCAGACATAGTATTATCCAAATTCTCTAGTGCATGACTGTTGCTGAGTTTTTATAAAACCAAATTTGTTGACACATTGACAGGGTCCATTACACACATATGTGCATATATATGCATACACCAAATTCACTCTAGGAGTAACTGTGAGTGTGTGTGTGGTTGTTCGTATCTGTGAAGCGTTATAGAAAATCTATCTATCTATCTATCTATCTATCTATCTATCTATCTATCTATC